GCACCAGCCCTCTTGGTCAGGGACCACCCTTGACCTCTCTTGACCTCAGCTATCCGTAAGGCCCATCTCCACTGCACAGGGGAACTCGGGCTTCAGCATGAGTCTGGGAGGGACACTTCGTCCCAGCAGTGTCCACGGGAGACTCCACCGTGTTGGCCACCCTGGCTGGCGGCTCTTCTCTCTCGGGAGCCCTCAGGGCTGGGGGCCAGCGGCCCTGTGCCCCCTCACTGGGCTTCCTGGCCAGCAGCCAGCCCACCCCAGGCCTGGGGGTGACTCTGGAGCTTTCCTCGCGGCAGTGTGTGGGGCGTTCCCAGGCGTCTCAGGGGGTGTGGGCCCCTGGCTGCACTGCGCCCTTCTGTGGCCGTCCCCCAGCAGGGCTGAAGGAGTCTGTCCTGGGCCCGTGTATCCTTTTGTCTGAGGAGTGCTTCGTACATCAAGGATGTTGGTTAATGCCTGTTTAGCCAAACACGTGGGGTCTTTTGATTAAAAAAGAAAATGGTGGACGGAGCACCTGCCCAGGCACCAGGCCCCGGGGCAGGCTTGGCAGTGGTGCTTTGATGCGTTGGGTGTTTGCGGAGCCTCTGTTCTTGAGGGCCCGTGGTGAGCACCAGGTGGTGTTGCTGACCCTCTCTGCCAGGAGGGGCGAGGAGGCGAGGAGGCCTTTGCTCTCAGAGCCTTCCGGGGAAGGGATTCGTGTTTACCGTGCAGCATGTTTTAATCACCCCAGAGAGCTGCCAGGAACGGAGATCGGCAGATGTAAATAGAGAGCTAGGTGCCACCTGTGAGCTCCGGTGCCACCTGTGAGCTCCGGCCCCACGGAAGGCAGTGTTCAGGACAGAGGCGCTGCCCCTCTACAGCTCCAGGAGGCCAGGCCTCAGCTCCTAGGGACACAGTGACCCCCTCTCACTACCCCAGCAAAGCCAGAGGGGTGAAGCTCCAGCCCCAGGACCCCCGTGCCACACCCTGCCCCCCACTCACCCTCAGGCACGACAGACTGACCACCCCTGGCCAAGAGCCACCCCATTCTTTAGCTAGGAGCCTGATACTCAGGTTGCAGACCTGCTGACACGTCCCTCCCACAAGTGTAGCAGTCTGCTGGGAGGTCCCCTTAGTCACCCAGAGTCCGGCTGAGGCGCCTAGGTCACCGTGCTGGTGCCCAGCTGGTCTCCTTGCTGACCCCTGCCATCTCCCCCCCCCATCAACTCTCCGGTTTCAGGGCTCAAGTCGTATTAGTTCTAGAACTCTCCAGGCCCTGTCCCCAGGCCTCCAGTCCTGGGAACTCTCCTGCCCCTTTCCCCCTTTCCCGCTGCCCAGCTGTCATTAAGGTAGACAGCATTCACTGGACACAGTCGGTTCACAGGCTGTCCCCTTCAGCAGTGGCGGTTCCCTGGACACCCGAGGGTCACCTGGCAGGTGTGAGCCAGGAACCACGGGCTCTTTATTCCATCTTAATTTCTAATATCTGACCCTTGCTCACATCACATCACTCTTCCCACGATTCCACACACACAGGGACAAAGGCTAGGGAAGGGTTAAGGCAGGGCAGCGGGGTGAGGAGGCTGGCCAGGCAGACCTGTGGGCACTCAGATAAGATAGCCAGCGGAGCTCGGAGCCCGTTCTGGGCCAAGCTCCAGACGGCTGGGTTCCCAGTACCAGCTTGGGGACGACTTGGCCATGTGCGGTCATCACAGGCCGCAGGCACCTCACCTTGAGCAAGTCCAAGGGGGTTGGATGCTGTGGTGATCTTCCTGGGCCAGGCTCATGACGAGTGACCAGGTGGCAGGGTCGGGGGACCCTGCCATGGGCTCGCGCGAGGGGTTGCACCCTTTGCTGGTTTTCCCTCCTGGCTGCCCATCAGTGCCCGCAGCTCCAGGGGGTCCTTTGATTTGCTGATTAACTTACTCACCAGCTTGGGCTGTGCTGCCAGGCAGGTGGCGGCTGTTTACTTGTGCACACAACGTGGAGTCCCCCTCGGCCTTGGGCTCTAACTGTGCTGGAGGAGCTCAGGTTAGGCCTGCGAGCCCCTCCCTGCCATGCAGTGGCTCAGGCCCGCGGTGCCCCACACCAGCCCCCTCAGGCCCTGGGGCACCCCCTCAGGGCCTCGGCCAGGTAGTCTCCTGTGGCTTCTGATGGCCCTGTTAGAAATGGCCACCTGCCGCGCTGGCTGTGTCTCAGTCCCCCTGTGCCACACCCTGGGGACGGGGCTGTTGGTCTCTTGTTCACTGATGTCACCTGTGCCTGGAGGTGTGCCTGGCCCATCACAGGCCCTCAGTGAGCACTGGAATGAGGAACCTGGTCCTTCCCACCCCTGAGGAAGGTGACACCAGGTGACAGGAGACAGCACTGAAGCAGAGGGTGGAGTCACCCTGGGCTGGAACCCAGGGTTCCCAGAACCCGCCTGGGGACAGACTCCCTCCCTCGGGCTCTCAGGCCCCTTTCAGTCACCCCTTCCCAGCACACGCTTCTGAGTTTGTCCACCCTGTTCCTGCCCACCCTGACGCCCGTGGACGTCCAGAGCATGAGGAACAGGAGGCTCTGGTGAGTGGAGGAGGGACAGCCTTGCACATGGCAGCAGGGCTAGATGGGCTTGGGCACCCTGGCTCGGCTTGTGCTGCCCCTGTGGCTGGAGTGACCATGACCCAGGGGCAGACATGGAGGACCATGGCGCTGGGGCTGCCCACAGAGGGTGACTCTCCTCCCACTGCGGCCAGGCGTCCTGAGGGACTCGCGCGGCCCGTGGGCTCCGCTGCCCATCGGCTCCCTGTTCCTAGTTCCCAGCCCATGAGACAGGCGCTCCGCACAGTCTCTCCTCTGCCCGCTCTGCCTGGCTGTGTGCTGACCAGGGAGCAAGCGTCCAGCCTGACCAGGACCTGCCTGCATCCTGAACCTGGGGCTGGCTCCTGGCTCTGGGACCCCCTGCCCTGCCCCAGGCACACCCGCCCCAGGGCCACCACCCCCCAGGGCCACCCTGTCCTCCTGGGGTCGGCTGCGCCCTGCCTGTGCGCTCAGGGCAGGCCAGGGTGCTAGAGAGCGGCGGGACCCTCAGGCCTGCGCCCACAGCAGGTTCAGAGGCCCGCGGGACAAGGGCCATCACTTCCCGGCCACGCGAGCCCAATCTGTGTTCCTGTGGGGACAGCTGCCCTCGAATGGGCTTCTGCAAGGTCCAGCCACCGCCTCTCCACCTCGGAACCTCACCCGCCCCGCTTCTCCCACTGGACTGTGACAGTCAGGGGCGGAGGGCTCGGTGCCCTGTGCCGAGAGCAGGCTGGAGAGGGGCCGCGCGTGGCCTGTGTTGAGGGCTGGCTGAGGGAGGGGCGGGAGCGCAGGTGCCTCCAGGCCATGCGGGGTGGGGTGCAGGGCCTCGGTGCTGGTGACACCAGAGGCTGCGGCCTGCAGTCATCCTGAGGAGCCGGGCGGGTCACATCCTGTAGACAGCTGAGGTCCCTGGCTCTTCAGGAGCATGTGCCTGTCAGTCCCAGTGCCACCCCCGGACTCTGTCCTGACGGACCCAGAAGCAGCCAGGGCCCCCGCCTCCCCTGCTCCCGGCCGGTCTTGGGGAGTCAGTGGCTCAGGTCCACGGTTGGGGCAGTGTGTTTGGGTGTGGCCCTGCCCAGCGGCCCCTCGCCCTCTCCTGAACTGGGAGTGACTCTTAGAGAGGAGACAGGTGGAGGCAGCCAGGCCTCCAGGCTTCTCCTGGCCTCTCCCGGCGGAGCCCTGGGCGGCAGGGACTGGAGGGCAGGTTGTAGGGGCCTGAAAGTCCAGTGAGGAATGTGGGGTCCTCCGCCAGTCACCGCAGAAGCCCCGGGGCTGCGGGGATGGGTCAGAGTGAAGGGTGCCTCCAGAGGGAAGATGAGTGAGGAGGGGACTGGACACAGAGGACACACCGACCCTGACCTCCCCTTTGCTCAGGGCCAGCAGGAAGGCAATCTGCTAGTGGCGAGGCGCCCATCTGACACCTACTTCACCATCAAGGGTTTTGTTTTTATTTTAATTAATTAATGTATTTATTTATGGTGCTAGGAATTGAGCCCAGGGGCCCTTAACCACTGAGCCACATCCCCAGTCCTTTTTATTTTCTGTTTTGAGATGGGGTCTCGCTAAGTTGCTTAGGGCCTTGCTGAGTTGCTGAGGCTGGCCTCTAATTTGCAATCCTCCTGCCTCGGCCTCCTGAGCCACAGGGATTGCAAGTGTGCACCACCTTGGTTTTACAGAGCCCCGGGCCTCAGAAGCGTTCCACCTTCATAAGTGAGGAAACGGAGACACAGGAAGACA